GCAGTACGGGAGCCTCTCACTGTTGTGGCCTCTCGCGTTGCGGAGCACAGGCTCCGGACGCGCAGGCTCAGCGGCCATGGCTCACGGGCCCAGCCGCTCCGCGGCACGTGGGATCTTCCCTTACTGGGGCACGAACCCGTGTCCCCTGCATCGGCAGGCTGACTCTCAACCACTGCGCCACCATGGAAGCCCCATAAGACTTTTTTTAAAGCTTGTTTAAAACTAAAATAATTTCTTTAATATTTCTGTGCTTGTGTACACCCCATAGGCCAAATGGCTGATGGGCTAGACAGTTTATTAATGAGTTTGTTTCTTTCCAGAAGCCTCAACCATAGGCTGGTCATGGTTAGACCATTCTTAATGGCTGGCAAACAGTAGCTTCTTCCTAGAAACCAGAATCAGAGCTTGACTTTATATAAGAAGCACAGTGAACATATCATCTTTGCTATTCAGAAACTATTAGACACCTCCCAGGTCACAGTCAAGGCTACACAACACTTCAGCAACACTTCCTTGTTGCCATCAACACCTTGTAAGGAGAATATTTACCTGTGACAACACTGGGGATTTTGGAGAGAAAGCTCTTGACTGTTCTGATAGGCACACCACCTGTCTTGTCATCTTGCATCTTTGTAATGATGTCTTCAATCTGAAAGAGATGAAAGCAAAGAAGTGTTATTGTATCTCACAAAGTAATAGTAAACAATACCTTTATAAATAGCCAAAATGTGGGAACATAGATGCCAATAAGAGATATTAGGAAAAGCCTCTGCCTCAGTCAATAAACTTAGTAGCAGGATCTGCTATGGGCCAAGTGTTGGGGATAGGGAGGCCAGGGGTTTATATATAAACAGCATAAAGCATGGTCTGTAAGAACAACCATTTGCCCCCAGTTCAGCAAGTAAGGAGAAAGAAATTCTTGATAGGATTGGATCCAACATGCAATTCAATATGTATGTGATGAAATTCCTCCTCTTTCCTAAATTGGGTTTATATATAGGTTGAACCATATGAAATTGCCACATTCAACCTAAAAATGGCAATTTCCTATAGCTTAACCTAACATATTAACATACTGCTGTTAGAAGTATAGGTGGGGCTGCCTCTGGGACCAGAGAAGGATTCAGCCAGAGTCACATAGGGGAAAAAATAAAAGAGTATAAATCAAGATATGGAAAGTGCTGATCTGGAGAAGTTGGAGGACAAGTGTCATGGTTGTGAGTGGTGGCATGAGGGGGGTCATCTTTAACCGGGACTAAGATGGAACAAGAACAGGATTCTCGGGCTTCCCTGATGGCGCAGTGGTTGAGAGTCCGCCTGCCGATGCAGGGGACACGGGTTC